TTTATAACTAATAATCAACTTTGCATGTGAAAAAAAAGATGGATTGTGATCAACATAATTTAAGGTCAACTAGAATGTATCAATTTAGTCAATTTGGATGCAACATCATGCTTATATTAGCAATCTCACTCATAAGATTTATTAAAAACAATGCTATATATCATAAAAAAAAAAAAAAAAAAAAAAAATCAGATCATACTCGTAATATAGCTTTTGATTTTGAAATCAACTATCTTTAAACAATTATCTATTTAGTCAATGAAATTATGTTGTCATTCAAGTGTAAGTAATGTCATTACTCATAAAGTTCAAACAGTATTATGATCATCATTAAAGACTTCAATGCATTCTTATAAAAATAAATTAGTCCATTGAAATTTATCCAAGCTCATCGTAATCACTTAATAATAGAATCAAAGTTAGTAGGTTGCTCGAGTAGAGCTAGACTTATAACCCAATATCTATACTACATAACAAATCAAAACTATCTAGCACTTAATACTATGTATATGAATATGCCAAAAACATGTCATTTATAGTACATAGTATAAGATATAAACTTAACTTATAATTAAGTCACAATACTCTCAAATACCATTATTTAATTCGCAGCACATGATTCAGCATATATCACTTTATGTATAAACACTTTAGTCTTTAGAGAAAATATATTATTTCAACCTTAAAGAAAAGTAAAATATTTTACCTTAAAGAAATCAAATAACAGAGAACAATTTCGTAAAAGTGAAGTGCCATTTATACGGAGTTGCTTTAGCTATGAAATAGGTTTATATTATTTGGTCAATGGTCATAGCTATCAACATAAATAATGCCCCCAATCACATACAAAGTAGTAAACCACATATTAATAACAGCATGTCGACATTTCGTCAATAATCAAATAATGGATTTATCACCAGACAAAGCAGATGAAACCACATTAATTTTCAATTGTCTTAGCTAGAGTACCAATTGCAAGCAAGCAAGTTAAACTCCATCTAAAGCTCAATTCATAAGTTTAGACCATTCATTTATATCACTAAAATAAATAATAGAGATACGGAGAATATACTGGTAGAATAACAAACTCTGTAAATACAAAGTAGTCGTAGACATGCAATTCTAGTAATCCTGACAAATTATTTATGAGAGAATAGTTTAATTGTATTGATGATCTTGGCTAATATTTATAGCCTACATAAGATAACCTACACAATATAAACTCTATCATATAAACTTCCATAAATCTATCTTAGAATATCACTAAGATATATTATTATCCTAAATATAATATCATAAGATATATATGGAAAATATATCACAATAATATATTTTCCTATATTCCCAACACCCTCCCGCAATCGTAACGGCAGTAACACGAACGTTATGATTGGAAATTCGCACTTTGTTGAAGTTGATCGAGTTGCACTACTCTGTTGATGTCGCCTTCAATTTTTTTTTATTTAAAAAAAAAGAACTTTTGCTACCACGGCCCTTTGCTGGTGTCCATGGTCTTCTGTCACGGCCCTTTGCTGGTGTCCGTGGTCTTTTGTCACGGCCCTTTGCTGGTGTCCGTGGTCTTCTTTGCCACGACCCTTTGCTGGTGTCCGTAATCTTCTTTTCCACGGCCCTTTGCTGGTGTCCGTGATCTTCTTTGCCAGGCCCTTTGATGGTGTCCGTGTTCTTTTGCAATTTTTTTTTAAATAATAAATAATACGCCAAACGTGGCTTTTCTTCATCTCCTTGGAGATGCAATAATGGAGGAAGCACACTCAAACACTACAACCTAACCAAATCACATATGACCATTCATATTGATCACGTATCACATGGTTATTCCAAAAAAAAAAGATTAAATAAAAAAAATAGAAATTTCAAAGAGCAATACTATTGCATAGCGGAAGCAAATTTATGAATCCCACCGGTGGGTTTAATATTCTAACCCACCGGCAAGGAGAGAATTTGTGTGAACGGTCCCAAGATTTAACCTGCTCTTGATACCATGACAAATTATTTATGAGAGAATAGTTTAATTGTATTGATGATCTTGGCTAATATTTATAGCCTACATAAGATAACCTACACAATATAAACTCTATCATATAAACTTCCATAAATCTATCTTAGAATATCACTAAGATATATTATTATCCTAAATATAATATCATAAGATATACATGGAAAATATATCACAATAATATATTTTCCTATATTCCCAACAAATCCCCACAGACAATTTGATGAATTAGGGCTTGTTCTCTTCCGTGGAAATTCAGTTCAGTTCAGTTCAGTTCAGTTTAGTTCAGCTCTTAATTTACATCTAATGATATTGCTAATGATATAAAGCCAAATTTCATTCTTTTAAGCTCTTATTACTAATAATAACAATAATAATAATAACAATAATAATAATAATAATAATAATAATAATAATAATAATAACCAATAAGTAATAAATAACAATAATAATAATAATAATAATAATAATCAATAAATAATAATAATAATAACAATAATAATTGAAATAATAATACTAATAATAATAATCAATAAATCATCAATAATAATTGAAATAATAATACTACTAATAATAATCAATAAATAATAATAATAATCATCAATAACTAATAATAATAATAATAATAATAATAATAAATAATCAATAAATAATCAAAGATCACTAATCCGTAGTTAAAAATCACTAATTAATAAGTTCAGTTCAGTTCAGTTCAATTCAGTTCAGTTCAGTTCAGTTCAGCTAAGTTCAGTCAATCGGGCCCTTAATGCCGATTTTCATTAATTTATTTATTTTCACACGTATCCAATCTGAAACACGAATTAAATTAAAATGAATTATATAGGGGATTAGGGAGTTTTACCTGATTAAGAACAAATATTGGATGTGTTCTTATCATCAATTTGAACTGATTTTCCCTCACGATAAGAATTAGTATAATTGGGTACAAAGATTCTTCGAATGAGGGCTTTGCAATTGGAAAATCTCACATCATATAACTTCGTTGATATTGTTTTAGGTCATGTGGGATATTTGCATCTCCAAATTCGTAATAAAAAATGGTTGTTTACATCTTTTTTTTCATGGAAGGAATCAACAACTTCTAATTTGAGGGTAGATTTATAATCTTAATCGGCCAGTAAGAGCTTTGTTGCTGATAACGTGTTGTGCAATAAGGGAGAAAGATGAGAGAATGAGAGAAAATTAATTTGTTCATGTTAATCCATACGATAGGGGTATATATATACATAGAATATTATAAGTAGGGTTTTCTTAGATAAGAATAAACCCTAGATCTAGAATATTTTGGAAACATACAAAGAGGATAATGGATATCCACACAATATTTTCATAACAATAAAATCCTTTTTGTTAAAAATAGATAAATGTTTTCCTAAAAACAAGCTTGCACAACATTATCTTTTTAGACCAATTCCACACAGATATTTTGAATCTAATCATATCCTTATACTTACATAAATCCTAAAATATAAAAATATATTAGTCTTCATGTTTCTATGCTGAAGCTTCTGCTCCGAGGCTTCTGTTCCTTGGAAGGAACTTCTCTTCTTTGGCGATGAGCGCCTAATTCTAATACAATAAAGGTCTATCAGTGCAAGTCAGCTGAACACCGCGGAAGCTTCCACTCTGAAGCTTCTGTTCCTTGAGGGAAAACTTCTCTTCTCAAGTCTTCATTTCTGAAGCATCAGTTCCTGTAAGGGAACTCTTCTCTTTTAGATTGCTTTGTTCCTGGCTTTCTTGTTCCTCATGGAATCTTCGCAAGACACTCAATTCTCCTAGTCATTGCAACTGATCACACACTCAAACAATCAACTCTTATTAGTTTGTAAATAAATTAGGTTGTGTCATCATCAAAATCATTAAGTCCAACAGAATGAAACCTGATTAATTAAGAGAGACTAATTAGATTAAGTAAGAGCGAATCCAATTTAAACTATCTTTTTAAAAATAAAAATAAAAAGACCATCCATTGCATTGTGAAATTACGGGCCTGTTCACATTTACTTAATTTCAGTTCAGTTTAGTTTAGTTCAGCTCCAATAATTAGTTCAATTTAGTTCAACTCCTAATTTTCCTCTCTCATAAAAAATTTAGTTCAACTTAGTTCACTTCAGTTCCAATCTGTTCAGTTCAGCTCAGTTAAGTAAATGTGAACAGACCCTATGGCTAGGTGAGTATAGTAAAGGTTTAAAATTCAAGATTTAGTTACCTTAGTCTTAACAAACATTTAAAGCTTGTTGAAACCTAAAAATTGGTGTAAGTACCAAATAATGTTTTATAAACGATGGAAATCGAAAAGGTATGTATTATGTACTCTCAATACTAAACTTATAGAAAGTAGGAACAATAATTGTATTCCCAACATCTGGATTTTTAAATAATAGGCTAATAACGCGTTTTCTGTGTGGCTGGTCATAATGTGTGGCGGGCTTATATGTACCAACTGGGTAACCATTGAACAAGTAACCTTAGACTAATCGAGTAATCCTTAATAGACTGAGTAACCCCAGTCTGATCGAGTAACCCTTAACCAAGTAACTCATGACCGAGTAACCGACCCTGACCACATGACGTGACCAACCACGTATGAAACTTTGTGATTAGCTAAACAACAATGTGGTAATCCTCTCTAAATCTAATAGCAAATGGTAACATAAAACTTTTTAGTGATAATCTTTCATATACAAATACGAATTTAATCTTTTTTTTTATTATTTTTTTATTTTTTTTACAATTTAAAAAAAAAATTAAATACCCCCTACCTACCTAATATTATTATACTTAATTCGATTTAATTGTCTAAAATAATGTATTGGTCAAGTATATATAATGTTTAAAAAACAAAATTAAGGGATTATCAAATTTTAGTTTTTGTATTGCATTGATTGGGTCAAATCTAACCGACACTAGCTTATTGGCAGGGAAAACTAGTGCACGATTAATTGATTAAATAAATTAATTAAATTTTAGCATATTGGCAGGTAAGATTATGGTTTGATCACCATATCTTCCTAATAGCTTAACGACAAGGTGGTGAAGGTAATCTGTCTCTATCACTCTATGACTAACTACTACGATTACAATAGAGAAGCAAATAGCCAGCCAAAAACTCAAATTAGAACAAAATCTTTCAGCCTAAGAATTTCCTATTGATCAAAATCATTTTGGATCAAACCTTATGTAAGATGTAAACTTAAGAAAAATTCATCACTTTAAAATCATAACAAAAAAAAATAAAATAAATGAGTAGCATCAAAGTGAAGAAATCAACCATGGTGTGCCCTGCTAAGGTGACTCCAAAAGGCAGTCTTTGGCTCTCAAAGATCGACATGATAATACGCACACCTTACTCACACACTAATGTTCTCTTATTCTATCCTCCCAACAATAATAAACCTTTTGATCCCAACATTTTCAAGGAGGCTCTTAGTAAAGCTCTAGTGCCATTCTACCCAATGGCAGGGAGGTTAAAATTTAACCATGAAAACGGAAGGTACGAGATCGATTGCAATGCTAAGGGGGCCTTATTTATCGATTGCAATGCAACCCGCCTCAAGTTAAGTTTCGGCACCTCGAGTATGAGCCATCCTTACCCCCTTTAATTCCAAAGGGCTTATCAGGTGATTATATACTTCTTATACTTTCTCCGTTTTTATTAGATATATCACTTTCTATGTTTAAAAGTTTCAATTTAGATATATCACTTTCCCTTTTAGTCACTCTCTCAATGATCGAATAGGTCATTAATATTTAATTGTTATAACTTTTAATGATTGATAATTAATGATATTATCGGTCAAAGTTTTACACTCATATACATGTACATGAAAAACATTTCACTAAAAAAGAATACAACACCCCTATTCCCATAAAATTGGAATTAAAATAATTAAAATATATTAATCTACAATGAAAAAGGAAAAATGATTAATCAATCATCACATAAAAGGAAAACTAACGACAATTACATAAAAGGAAAACTAACGACAATTAAAAATATTACTCGTAATAGTTAAAATTCAACATTGACATACGTGCCCATTTAAAGTGAAACACTTAAATAAGTATAAGTACATGACAAAAATTTCACTAAAAAAGACTACAACACCCCCTATTCCCATAAAATTGGAATCAAAAAAATTAAAATATATTAATCTATGGTGAAAAAGAAAGATGATTAATCAATCATCACATAAAAGGAAAACTAGTGATAATTAAAAGGCAAAAGATAACGAACGTTTCGGGGCGTTGGATAAGGTAGCTAAAAATAGAAATATTGAATTAAAATTAACATTAATTACACCGATCGACCCGTAATTTGGTCATGCTAAAATGCTAAATGCTTATCCAACGCCCTCGGAGCGTTCGTTAGCAAGATACTAATTAAATATATTAATAGTTAAATTTTCTCCATCGAAATTTGTGCCCATTATTAAAAGTGATGAAAGACTTAAATAAGTACTACATGAAAAAAATATAAAATTGAATTATTTTTATTTGTAAAAAAATATAAGGAACATGTAATATACCAATTAGTGTTAGGCCCGGGCATGTCCCGAATTACAACATTATTTCCATAAATCTGCATTTATATTTAATTATTGAATACATGTAATATGGTAATAGCTTTATGGCTAACACGTTGGAGTTTTAAACTTGAAATCATGGGTTCAAATTTTGTAAGAACCATGTTTTTAGACATGGAATAATCGCATTGAATGAGGAGATTGTTATTATGTGACACCTAAACTTCTTTCGAAATGGCGGAACGCCTTGAGAAGAGTGCCACGTGACACCTAAAATTCTTTAGAATTGCCTTTTAACATATAGTATAGATAGATATGGAGCATGTCACATAACTACAAGATACTAATATGTTTTATTTTAATGATTTTCTTAACACAATTTTAAGGTACGTGTCATATAGATATAAATAAAGTATATATATATATATATATATATATATATATATATATATATATATATATATATATATATATATATATATATTCAAAAAAAAAATTTGTGTACTTCGTTCTTAATTTTGTTTCCATAACATTCATTGTATGATCAGGTGAGGTGGTAGCAACAACCCAGTGTACCATTTATATCTCAGCAAGTTAACACCTTAAAATTACAAGTAAAATCTCAGCAAGAAGTAACAAATTACAAGCTAAGTACATTTGAGGTTCAAGCAGGGCATGTGTGGCGCAGTGTATGCATGGCGCGTGGATTAGCAAATGATCAAGACGTGAAACTTTACATCGTAGTAAACGGACGGTCAAGAATGAAAGAAATGGGACTACCAAAAGGTTATTGTGGTAATATCCATTTATATGCAACATGTTTAGAAAAGGCAGGAGATATCAAGTGCAAACCATTAAGGTACACCGCGTGTAAAATTCATGAGGGTCACAAACCATTAAGGGTCAAGAATGAAAGAAATGGGACTACCAAAAAATTTGATGACATTGAATATATAAAATCAGCCATTGATTATTTGAATCACGTCCTAATGTAATGGATATTGCTCGAGGGTCACAAACATCTACATGTCCTAATTTTGCAATAAACTCTTGGGCTAGTTTGCCTTTATATGAAGGTGACTTTGGATGGGGTGGACCCACATTTACGCGTATTAATGCAATCAAGTATGAAGGCAAATCTTACATTACACCAAGCTCAAATAGGGATGGTAGTTTTTCAGTCACCCTCAAGCTTTTCTCTACTCATAAGGAGGCTTTTAAGGAGTACTTCTACAACATTATTAGTAGCAAATATTGACCATTCTTGGAATAACACCTTTTATGGATGTAGGTTCATCCAAAAGTTTTTTTTTTTTTTTCAGAGCCACAAAGGTGGGGGGTGAGAATCGATCCCAGCCAGAATCTCCTAAAATTGAAAGAGAAGCTCTAACGACTTGAGCTATTCCTCACACTTGTGTGTGTGTGTGGGGGCTCATTTTAAGATTTTAAAGTGACCAAGTAATATAAAGTGAGTAAAATATATATGTGATGGGTACACTTTACAAACGTGTGTCACACTTGTGTGTGTGTGGGGGGCTCATTTTAAGATTTTAAAGTGACCAAGTAATATAAAGTGAGTAAAATATATATGTGATGGGTGCACTTTACAAACGTGTGTAAGTAAATTTTTATTCTTGGAAGGCTCTTGTATGATTTCTTTTATATATGCACAAGTTAAATGGTGTTAAATCTTGTTTATTGAAACATCAATCAAAGTTGTGTATTCCATTTCAAGTTGTTCGGGTTATGCTTACAAGTTTTTTTTTTTTTTTTTTTTTTTTTTTTTTTTTTTTTTTTTTTATTTTTATCATAAGCAGTATGTTAATTATTTTTTACAATTTTTTTTTGCTTTGCAAACTCTATTGAGATAGATTTTTGATTGGAATATGTCTTAGTTACGCTGATGCATTTGAAATCTCTTGCCTTTTTCTACAAAAAGTTATTATTTTAACCCCTAAATTGTGAAATTAAGGCCGGATGAGTACAGTGGAGCTTTAAAATTCATCAAGATTTAAAACCCATAGTCTTAACAAATAAATAATTAAAGCTTAGCTTGGTGAAACCTAAGACTATTGTAATCAAGAAAATTTATTTATCTAGTAATGTATTACTATGGAAATCGCAAAGGTACGTATTATTGTATTAATGTATTACTGTGGAAATCGCAAAGGTATGTATTAATGTATTATGTACTCTCAATACTAAACTGCTGAAAGTAGGAACAATTGTGTAGAACTAATAAGGGCAATTTTTGAGGCATACATACTTGGGATGGATGAGATTAGAATCCATGAATATTTTTTCACGCTATAATTGATATTATATTATGGGATCAATTCAATTAAAAATAATAATAAAATTATTTTAAAAAAAAAACTCAATAGTTGACGGCTTGAAGCCTATTACTTGTATTAGTTTTTTTTTTTTTTTTTTTCCTTTTTCTTATAGGTGGAAAGAGCAATATATTGATCATGATTCCTATATTTATTAAGAAATATCAACAAGTCCAACCAAGGTTAAAAGACCTTGAGGAAATGAACTCACACAAATTCTTTGGACACAACCATTAGTATCCCACGCAAATTCTTTGGGCACAACCATTAATTTCCTTTTACATGAGAGAAACTACAAACATTAAACGACTTAGCTAACAAGCGTACAACATCATAAAAAAACCATATATGGGGACTATGCATCCATGTGAAGAACCGTTTAAGGTGTTGATCACTGCCAAGGCATTACCCTCAGCTAAAGCCACACCCGCAAACCCCAATCATCTTTCGCAACCTGGCAGCCAAAGCGAGTAATAGCCACCCTACCTCTACCGTCTCCACATCTTGAATTGGGACCCCTTGGCGGTGAAGCTCTGAGTTTATTGTTAAACCGTTATGAAGTGACACTTATAAGAAAAGTTTTCATTTTGGTTGTAAGTGAAGGGACCAAAGAGTTTTCCAGAAAGGATCAACTGGTTGAGGGGATCGTTATTGTATGAGCATTGCGTAACCCGTCTTTACCAAATATTTTCCCGAGACAGTGTGCGCCAAAAAACGAAAGTCCGCTACCCTAGAAAGAATTGTAGAAGCGTGCGGGGATTATAAACACTGATGGACTTTATCAACATCCCAGGATAGAGTTTGAGATGAATACAGAAATTTACATCCAGTTCTTTGCAGTGTCTAAGAAGATTCCTGGTTTGAATTTAGGAATAGTACCATTGACCTAATTTGATTGAGCTGCAAGTATGGAATTGCCATTCCCAACTTTCCAGCCGCACCCGTAGGAAAGCAAGACATCGGCACGTATTTAGTATATTTTTCTTAATACCAACGGTACATAGTTTTTCCTTAGCTTCTTTATTTGGTACTCGAAGTATTAGTAATGGTCAAAAATTAAAATCCCTTTGAATTCCAAACCCCATACCTTAGGGGATTAAGATATAGCCTGGGTTTAATAATACTACTTGTGCTTTGATATTGTTCATGCCGATCTATGGACTTCACCTATCCATAGCTCGACGGGTCACAAATACTATTTGGTACTTCTTGACGACTTTACTCATTATGTGTGGGCTATCCCACTTTCTTACAAATCTTAAGCCTTTCAAAAATTTCTTGATTTTCGTGCATTTGTCAAAACTCAATTTAAACGACCAATAAAAGCTTTTCAAAGTGACCATGGTCGTGAGTTTGATAATGACCCTTTTAAAAAGTTTTGTATTGAAAATAGTATGGTGTTTTGATTTTCGTGTCCCCATACATCATCACAAAATGGTAAAGCCGAACGCATGATCCGCACTTTAAACAATATCAAACGCACTCTATTGTTTCATGCCTCCCTTCCACCAAATTTTTGGGTCCATGCTCTTGAAACTGCAACTTATTTACTCAATATTTTGCCAACCAAAACTCTCAAGAACACAACCCCATTTGAGGCTTTATTTCACAAAACTCCATCATATGATCACCTTCGGGTGTTTGGGTGTCTATGTTTTCCAAATCTCTCTTCCACCGCTCCCCACAAGCTTGCTCCTCGGTCTTCCCCTTGTGTTTTTTAGGGTATCCTAGTAACCACCGTGGGTATAGGTGTCTTGATATTACCTCAAATAAATATATTTTTTCTAGACATGTCACTTTTGATGAATGAACTTTTCCGTACATGAACTTGCAAAAATATAAACTTCCTGGGCTTTGATGAAAGATCACCTTTACTAACCCATAATATTCTAAAGTTTGGCAGCCCCTTTGGCCCAACTAATCACACTCATGGATCTGCAGCTCCATTGGACGCTGGAAATCCAACGACCCAACCAGGCCCACACGTCATGAGCCCAGCGGGTGATGGACAGCCAGCGGCCCAAATAGACCTCTCTCCTGCTTCCCACAACCCGCCAGATCCACCTCACTCTCTAGGCCCAAACACAAGCAGCCCGCCCTCTCCTACCACCTCCCCAGGCCCAAACACAAGCAGCCCAGCAACATACGCACCACCTCACCTCCGACCCAACCACACTTCTTTGCCAATTCTTCCTCCCTCACCTCAAATGCAAACGCGTTCGAGACACGGTATTGTAAAACAAAATCCAAAATACGCAATGACCAATGTTTCAACATGCCTAGCTCCTCATAAATCCTCACTTCCCAAGTCCTATAAACAAGCCTTATCCGACCCAAATTGGAATGCGGCGATGAATGATGAATATAGTGCTTTAATTAAAATAGGGACATGGGATTTGGTGCCTAGGCCTACGGGGATGAATATTGTTAATTGTGTGTGGCTTTTTAAGCATAAATACAAATCTAACGGTGATCTTGAAAGGCACAAAGCTCGTCTTGTGTGTGATGGCAGGTCGCAGGAAACTGGTGTGGATTGTGATGAGACTTTTAGTCCGGTAGTTAAACCGTCCACTATTCAAACTGTTCTAATTTTTTATTTGGCCAAAAAATGGTCGATTCATCAATTAGATGTCAAAAATGCCTTTCTACATGGTGATTTGCAGGAAACTGTTTATATGCATCAACCCTCGGGCTTTGTTGATCGGAGGGCTCCCTCTCATGTTTTTCGGCTTCGCAAGGCTCTTTATGGTTTAAAAGAAGCTCCCAGAGCTTGGTACCGACGCTTTGCAAATTTTCTCATCAAATTGGGTTTTGTCATTGCTAAGAGTGACAACTCTCTCTTTACTTTCCAGCAGGGTGATGATGTGGCATATTTACTCTTGTATGTTGATGATATTATTTTAGCTACCTCATCTGATAGGTTGCATGTAGGGATCATATCTCAGTTGCAAACTGAGTTTCCTATGACAGATTTGGGTCCTTTGAGCTACTTTTTGGGCATAGCAGTGACCCGAAAACCATCTTATTTGTTTTGCAGGAAAAGTACGCGCAAGTGATTTTAGAGCGTGCAGGTATGGCCTCTTGTAAACCTGCAGCCACTCCAGTTGACACTAAGTCTAAACTTAGTGCAGATGCAGGGCCACCTTTTCGGGATCCTACTTTGTATCGCAGTTTAGGAGGTGCTCTTCAGTACCTCACTTTCACCAGGCCAGATATTTCCTATGTGGTACAATAGGTGTGTCTTTTTATGCATGATCCTCGGGAACCTAACTATGAGGCGTTAAAACGCATTCTGCGTTATATTCAGGGTACCATTGATCACGGTTTACATTTATATCCTACTGCTTATCATCGCTTGATTGCTTACACTAACGCTGACTGGGGAGGTTGTCCTGATACCTGTCGTTCCGCATCGGGGTATTGTTGTTTTCTTGGGGACAACCTCGTGTCCTGGTGTAGACACCCATTTGTGTCTCCCCAAAACCAAACCCAGTGATGAGTACCTTTCACGTTGAATCATAATCGAATGAAGTGAAAGTGTGGAAAGTTTAGTGTTGCGGATAGTTTTAATTTTTTTTCTCTTCTCTCTGTTTTTGAAAACCTATTTAAAGAAAATAGCCAATCCAGTTTGGTTGGTCCATGATGTTGTGGGTCCAATAGTAGTGTAGTTGGATAGGGCTTGAAAAGAGCTTTCCAACGATATATTATAAGCCCAATTCCGATGAATATTGAGGAAATTATGGCTAAATTACTGAACTGGGCCCGGTTTGAGCCTTATATGCGGCCCAATGATCTAGAGGAGGGCCTAATATGGATTTATCATTCCTTATGCAATTAGGAATGGTTTAAGTCTTCTAGATTCTTCTAGAATGTTCTTTTCATTCCTAATTCAATTAGCATTGATAAATTGACTTTTGTTGACTTTTTAGAGTTTTAATCAGAATAAAAGAACATTTTTGAGGAAAATACGATTTTATCCTCCTGTACGGAAATTTCTATCTGATTTTAAGAAAACGCGTCAAAAACTTAGTCAGCGCCAAACACCAGCAGTAGCGCCTGACGCTACGCTTGGCGCCTGGCGCTAACGTCAGCGTTTGGCGCTAACCCTCGTTTTATGCGTCAGAACTCTGTTTTTGATTTTTTATCTTTTTGGCTGATTTTCTCTATAAATAGCCTCCTAAAAACTTCGTTTTCATTCACGAACTCTCATCAAGATTTTCTTGATTACACTCTCTCTCTTTTCTAAACTAGCTTTTTCTCAAATACAAAATTCCGCATTCGCAAGACTTAGATACACCTAGCCATATTCGAAGTTGCCTTCGCCCTAAATGTGAAAGGTTTAATTTCTGAGGGTTTGGTCCTAAATCTCTCTTTCCATTATTTAATTTAATTATTTATTTTATATTTTCCTTGAAGTTACTAATGTGTGTAT